ATGCCAGCATTTATTACATACATAAAAAAAAGAAGGTACATTCTAGATAAAAGTACTGCTTTTGAGTATGACTCTGACACCTATCTGTTTCTTTAAAGTATTATTTTATTGAACTGGGATTATAACCAAATAAGGCACAAAAGAAGAGGACCAGGAAGGAATATGGAAATGGTGAGTAGAATCCTACTGACAAATCCACCTCATTCCTGCTTAGGCACTATGATCAGTTTGTCACATATTAAAGAGGAAGGGCATCTGGAATCAATTAGTCAATTTGCTTATTACTTACATAATTAAGATAGCACTATTTGGTAAGGACTCAAAACAGAGGCAATGGAGCAGCAGCAAATTTCATGGCTCTATAGTTTTTTGTGGATTCAAAGATGGGTGGACATTTCAACTCAACAACTCAGAAAGGTTCACAGAAAAACTACCCAAAGCTAAAATGAGCCCCTAGAGTATAATGTGATATAAATCAGATAAAATAAAGGAATGCCAAGCTAAAAACAAATCTTCAGTTCTAGCATTGACATCATAACATTCCAAATAATTCAAAATCCTGCCAGAATGTAATTTGAGAGTTGTTTATAGCTCTCTACCACTTCCTGCTTTTCAAAACATTTCTTTGTGCTGAAGAACTGGTACAAAATTTCTTCCAATTAGTATTCTTCATGTCCTTGGCATCTTCTGCTGCACATCTGTTTCAAGGCTTTAGAAAGTCCAAATTTTCTGATTAAAGTGGTACCCTTGGAGGCCAAGAGGAAAAACCAGAAGAGTAATTTGATTCTCTTTCTGAAGTTGGGGATAATGCCCTAAATGCTATATATGATTGGAGCCTATGTTATCCAAATACCTCAAACATTACGATCTTGAGTTTTATGAAAAAAACAGGTTTAAGGAGACACCTTTAGCAATATCTATTAACAACTTTTATATTATCTTACCGTTTTCAGCACATTGCTGGCTGTTGGTTCTACCTTCCTCCTAAAGTTAGTAAATTTGTCAGTAAAATAAATTATTTCTTTTTATATCTTTTCTGAGAGAACACTTGCTATGCCTGTGTAATTTAGAAATAAAAGGAAGTTATGCCACAAATTGTTTTGATTTGAAACTTAGCCACTTTCTCCCCGTGATAATAAAGGTGATAATCCTGATTGACAATAATTGTAAGTCAGGAGTGAAATTCAAAAATTTTCCCTACCGGTTCTGTGGGCGTGGCTTGGGGGGCGTGGCAGGGGAAGGATATTGCAAAATCTCCATTCTCATCCCACTCTTAGAGGTGGTATTTGCCGGTTCTCCAAACTATTCAAAATTTCCCCTGGTGTGTTATGTTTGGCTATTCTAGAATGCAAAATCCCAGGTTGTAGGCTAATATTATTTGCAGTAACCAAGCATCTAACTCTACCTCCTTTTCCATGTAGGGAAAATCCTATTTAAATTTATTTTGGTTGATTGGTGTGGGCTTCACCAGTTCCACAACGAATTCTTTATTGGTTCTCAAAGCCAAGTTGAAGTGAGCAAATGAGTTTCTTTGTTAGGGAACAAATAACCCTTTTCTGACTAATTCCAACTGAGTCAAACTTCTTGATGCCATTCTTCTGACATTTTTCCCCTTCCACCATATTTTCCTTGTTCTTATTTGGCCAAATCATAATTATGCTATTATGGAAGCCAACATGATTTTGCTGATGATATCACAGTGGAAAAAAACTTCTTTAAAGTTCTGGGTGACTTTATAGATAAATCCATGTAGTCTTCTTGATCATTATAGAGAATAGTTTGTGATTGTTTTCTGCACTATTGCTTTGATTCCCAACTTAGCTACAACTTTGGAATTTCCTGGCTGTCTAAGGTATTTTGTAGATTTGGGAAAATGTACACTTTAAAAACCTCAAACTAAAAAATATTCTTACTAATCTGTCTTGGCCAGACTCAATAAGAATTCCTCTGAAGGTGCAGCTGTGCTTTCTCCCAATGTCTCCACTCCCTCAAATACTTTGTCTCATTTTCAAATTAGGACATAGGCTAAGTTTGATCAGAATACCTGGCTCAGTTCCATCAATTGAGCTTCTCTGTTTAGGCAGTGTTTCTTCACCTTCTTCAAACAACTGTTTAGGGAATTCAGGGGCATGAAGTCTATGTATCTTAAAGTTGCCAAGTTTGAGAAACAGTCAGTGTGTACAATCATGCATTCTACCAATGCCTTGTAATGTTTTGCTCATTGAGTGAGAAGTGCTACTGCCATCTAATGGCAAATCTAATGATAACCACAAATTTTAACATCCTTTCTAATATAATAAGAAATTCTATTGAGTCTATTTAACAATAATCGGCACAGTATCAAATACTCCAGGATTAACTGTAATTATATCTACTATAGCCTGGTTGTGATATTCCCCTTTTGATGAAGAAGGAGGCAAAAGTATTCTGTCTTTTGTCTCCTGGATAGTAGCAGAATTATTTTGAGAAATTGAAAAAGTATAAAGTATCATTTAGTCATTTGGAGGTTTTTTATTAATTCTTTTTTTATTTCAATATTTGTTTACTTTTTGTAATCTTTATCTTCTGTATTCAAAGTTACATGAGATGTTAGTGCCACTTTATGTTGCACTGGTGAAACCACACTTGGAATATTGCATACAGTTTTGGTCACCATGATACAAATAGATGTTGAGACCCTAGAAAGAGTGCAGAGAAGAGCACAAAGATGATAAGGGGATTGTAGGCTAAAACATATGAAGAACAGCTGCAGAAATTGGGAATGTCTATTCTAACAAAGAGAAAGACTGGGACTGACATGATAGCAGTCTTCCAATATCTAAGGGACTGCCACAAAGAAGAGGGGGGTCAACCTCTTTTAAAGTAAAGTACCCAATTTAAATTTAAATTAAATTAAATTAAAGTAAAGTACCCAAAAGGAGGACAAGAGGTTATGGATGGAAACTTCTCAAAGAGAGATCTAACCTAGAACTAAGAAAAAAAATTCTGATTTCTGACAATTAGGCAGTGGAACATTTTGCCTTCAAAAGTTGTGAGTGCTCTCCATCACTGGAGGTTTTTAAGAAGAAATTGGACAGTTGTCTGGAATGGTATAGGGCTGTGATGGTGAACCTATGGCACGCATGCCACAGGTGGCACACAGAGCCATGTCACCTGGCATGCCAGCTCAGCCTCTCTGGGAGTGTCTGGAGGCTGAGGACAACAAAAAATGTCACTTCGTGTCCAACCGGAAGTTGGGAAACGGGCTGTTTTGGGCCTCCAAGGGGATGGGGAAGGCTGTTTTTGCCCTCCCCAGGTGCATAGAGAGGATCTGGAGCCAGGTGAGAAAGAAAAATGGGCCTACTGGGCCATTGTGTGCCAGGAGCAGGGGGCGGGGAGGGGGGGTCATGCATGCATGTGCAGGGCAGGGCACATAGAATTATGGATGTGGGCATGTGCACGCTCTCGAACCTCCCCCACCCTCCCTTCCTGGCACACGATGGCAAAAAGGTTAGCCATCACTGGTATAGGGTCTCCTGCTTGAGTAGGAGGTTAGACTAGAAGATCTCCAAGTTCCTTCCAACTCTGTTATTCTGTTAATCTTTTTATAAAATAAAAAGATGGGTAAGGAGGAAGAGAATTTGCAGCATGACACATTGTTTTAATGATTTTAAATTTAGAAATAGGGTCATAGTTCTTTCACTATGCAGGCCAACACCCAAAGATTTTTGTTTTTCTTTCTCCTCCTCCTCACACCCTGCCCCATCCTCCAGGATGTAGTTGTTCTCCCAAAACGCAAAGCGATAGATCCAAAAATAGGCAAAGGTGGGATTCACATAATTTACCTACCAGTTCACCCAGCACCAAAAATGTGAGCATGCGCACTTCTGCGAATGCGCCCGGTCTTCCGCGCATGCACTTTGCTTGTGCATGCACCAAGCAAATGCGCCCGGCCTTCCGTACATGCACCCAGCCTCAAAAATGTGCCTAAATATGACAGCATAGAGCCGGGGCAGGTGGGCCACCCGTGATTTCTGCTACCGGTTCACTTGAACCAGTCCGAACCAGCTGAATACCACCTCTGAATACAGGTGATTAATAACTGATTCTACTCCACCCTAGTCAGTGATAAAAGCTCATTGACTACCTTTGTATCAGTCACTCTTTCTCACCTTACCCTATGTCACACTCCTGAACTAAAGATGTGATATAAGTCAAACAAACAACTGAGACTGAATCAGTTATGGAAGTCAGTAGCATGGGAATGTTATATGGGAAAAAGGAAAGGAAAATCAGAACATACTACTTCACTATGCTTGATCAAGCAGAACTACCCAGTTCCTCATATTCCACAAAAAGCAGAAGACTTACAATTCAAGAAAGGAAATGTCCATTACTTCTGTGAAATATGTGCTTGTGATTTCTCAATACCTTATGATGGGAATTGTAAAGTACCACAGAGACTAATATAGAAAATCAAATAATTTTAAAGTCCCCCTGAGCATCAATGAGCTCTTCATCCAATTCACAGAATCCAAGAACAGAGCTGTGAATGCAGAACATTTTTTAAATGCAGCACCATTTGCCATTTTCTGTGAACAATACCCTTCATAAATTGGTAAACAGATTGTTTCCAAATAGTTGAAACAGGTAACAAACTTGCATGTGCTGTATCCATGTCATGGGGAAAAAAGAATCTTCCAATATACAGTAGCTGTGCTCAGAAAGTTAAGATGATTTGCTGAGAACATCATATAGGTGGCAAGTTCGGCACTGCATTTGTCATTCTTAAACATTCTCAGGAAGATTCAATCGTAGTTACCCAGAGGAAATCATTTGGATTATGAAAATATTGGAAAGGCCATCAGAAATATATCTCTGATTTGAGACAGCATTGAACTGTATAAGATTTTCATCTAAATAATGCCTCCATAATGATTGGAAAGTCAAGTGAGGAGAAAAATATGTCAACATAAATTTCCCTAGTCTCAGGCCCACACCTCAGCAATGAAGCTGGACAGTTTTGTCCCATTTACACAATTTAATGTGATTTTGTTTCAGGGGAGTGATTGGTGTATTCTGTGCCATCTTTTCCCCTCCCAATAAGCCTCATCGCTGAATAGAAATGTCAACTACTGAATACTCTTCTGAATGTATGGCATGGAAAGTTCTGAAGGTAACTAAGTTCCCCCTTCCAGAGAAGCTAAGAAGTTTGCCTTGTGACTATTGATTTCCTGTAAGAGCAATATTCTTTTAAGAAAAGAAATAAAACCCATGACGTGTCCTTAACATGGACGGAGTCTGATGGATGTGCACTCCAGCTTAGAGATGTGTTCAGGAAAGAACCAAAGGTTTTGAATCCCTTTTGGAAAAGCTTTGCCAAGCCTGAGTATTTTCAGAGATAGTGCTCCCTGGCTGTGGAGGCAGAAATCTTGTTGGGTGGGCTTCTTGGGAAATCAAGCTGTCTGGAGGAAGTGGGAAGATAAGGGTGAAAGATCAGCCAATCACCTGACATGCAATCAAACGTCTATAACAAAAATCAGGGGGTTAGTTTGCCTGACAATGATTAGAAATGTACTTCCTTTTTGGCTTATCTTCTTCTCCCCATATTCAAGCTTTAGAGATTGCTGGAAGAAAATAACACTTAGCAGAAAATCTGAGAAAACTGAAAATTATGTCCTTATGGAGACATAATTCTTTATTGGTTTATGGGAGATTGCAACCACCTTGGCAATTGCTATATACAGCTAGGTCTTGATTAGTGTAGTTAATGAATCCCACAATATGATTGCATTATTTAAATTCATACAATTCAAATTGATATTTGTCTACAGAAAATATGCTAATTGGTTCTAGTTCAATGGAAATATGCAAGAAAAAAATTAAACATAATTTTTATATGTATATTAATGAAATATGACATTAAAGAATAAGAATATGCTTATAATTTAAATTGCTGGTTTACAATCACAGTGTAGTTATAGAAAGCAACATTTTTTTAAAAAAAAACTAGGTTAAGGCATTTCAACTGCTTGCCCTATTTTACTGTTGCTAGGACCACATTCATATTGTTCAAATGCATCTTTTGCTCTAGAAATAAAAACAAAACAAAACATTTCCTCCATTTGTTGAAATGATACATTATTTTTCCTACCTTGTGAATTATAAATAAAGATTAAATATAGAACATTCAAATGAGCAAATCCACTGGTGCAAGTAGCCAGGGAGGGACTTCTTTAAAGCCTTGCCTGGAATGTCACAAATGATGACGTCACAGGGCTGCTCTCTGAAAGTTCTATTCTGCATCCATTGGAGGCCAAACTGAGACTAGTGGCAGAAGCTGGTGGCTGCTCTTGAAGGGTGGGATATATTTTTATAAATACCACAAAGACTCCAATTTCATCTTGCTGGGGAACAGCCTATTATTATAGATTCATCACCAGAGGAAAAAAGGAAAAATCAGGTAAAGATTCATGTTTATTGATTTAATTTATTAAACAAATGTATATAGCCGTCCAACTGAATTAAACTAATTTATATAGCTGTCAACTCACTCATAGGTCACCCCTATATGATATTACCCCATTGAATTTAATTGCTTTCGATGGTGCTCCTTAAGAATTGTCCAAATGTGTTACAGGATTTTCAGACATTTTGGATTACATGTGCCTTCATTGTAAGATAGCATAGTTGGCCTTGATGATTGGGGTGATGAGAATTATACCCCTAATACAATGTTGAATATTTCGTGCCCGTCCATCAAATTCTTTCTTTAATGATACACTCCTAGAGTGTAGGAGAGGTGATCATATGTTCTGCTTTCCATCTCTGTTCTGCTATTGCTGTGCTCTTGAATTAAACTTGGAACAACCAAAAGCTACTCTATGAAGCCTTTTGATATATAGAGATAGATAGATGGAATAATATAAATTGCTGCCTGTAACTCATGTCTCTCTCTTTTTTCACTGCCTTTTATCTGGGTTTTGTCAGCTAATTGTTTTTTAAAGTTTGCTGGTGTTTAATAAATAAACCTCAAGCTATATTTTTTGCCAGCTGAACTGAGTGGCATGTATGATATGGATATAGGGAATGCCTACTGTTTGTTGGGTGCCAATCAAACTGGGAATTACCCACAATTTCCCAACTTTTAGAAACTATTCAATCAGTGAAATCTGCTGAGAAGCTTTTTATTGGGGGGGGGGCTACCAAATTCACTGGAATGTATTAATGAATAGAGATAAATAAGATTTGGCAATACATACACCAAACATGAAAAAGAGGTAGAAAGGAGGTACAAGAAAAGAGTTTGTCATATGTGAGATGAGTTGCTTTTTATTTTTCAATAAAATTCATTGTGGACACTTTCCCACTTAGTTAAAAGTAGTCACTCATTTGTTCTAGAATGTTTAGTCCCTGTTTTCCTACTTTCCAATACCTGAAAAAGTATCCTTTTGAATCTCTCCAGAATTGTATATTTCTATTTTCCTGAATCAAGCTTTACTTTATTTCATTGACAGATGTATATTCATATCCATATATTTTAATATGCTTCAGTCTAAGTAATCTGGAAGCCAGCTGAGACTTTCCTACTAAGCTACTTTGTTGAAACAAGTTCCCCCAAGCAAGCTCTGGCCTCATGAGTGATATTTCCTTTGAAAATATGCTGAAATACCCCCAGAATCAAAGGCAACAAAAACCTCTGTATATTGAAGCCAGTCTTTCCCAGCCTGCTCCACTTCAGAGGACTTCAAACCCCATTCTTAAAGGCTGTATTGGCTGGGAATTCTGTGAGTTGAAGTTCAACACATACAGAGAGCATTGAGTTAAGCCCATTAATAACATGATGCAGCTTCTAAAGGATTGCCAGCTCAATTGGCCATTTCGCTTTATTTCTTTTGTATGGATTTGATAAAAAGGAGCTTTTTGCATGATAACTTAACCCAGACTTAACCCAGACAAGACCGAGTGGCTGTGGGTACTGCCTCCTAAAGATTGTCCATCCTTGGTTCTGGGGGGGGGGAGAAATTGTCCCCCTCAGAACGGGCCAATTTGGGTGTCCTCCTAGACTCATAGCTAAGATTAGAGCAACATCTGACAGCTGTGGCTAGGGGGACCTTTGCACAGGTTCTCCTGGTGCACCAATTGCGACCCTACTTGGATCGGGAGGCTCTCCTCATGGTCACTCATGCCCTTGTCACCTCACAGTTAGATTATTGCAACACACTCTACATGGGGCTACCCTTGAAAAGTGTTTGGAGACTACAGTTGGCCCAGAACGCAGCCATGCGAGCTGTCATGGGTGCACCTAGGTACACCCACATTACACCAATTCTCTGCAAGCTGCACTGGCTCCCTATTGGTCTCTGGTCACAATTCAAGGTGTTGGTTATTATCTTTAAAGCCCTACATGGCTCAGGGCCAGGGTATCTTCGAGACTGCCTTCTACCGCATAACTCTCAATGACCAGTAAGATCCCACAGAATTGGTCTCCTCCGGGTCCCGTCAGCTAAACAATGCCGGCTGGTGGGCCTGCGGGGGGGGGGCTCCTCTGTGGCTGCCCCAGCTCTCTGGAATCAGTTACCTCCTGAGGTCCAGACCATCCCAATCCTATTGGCCTTCCGAAAAGCAGTGAAGACCTGGCTTTTCTGGCAGGTCTGGGGCCTTTGATCTCGCTCTTGCGATCCAGCAATATCCGGCCATGAATGGTGTGAATGAGTTTTAATGTTTTAAATGTTTTTAATTCTTAAATGTTTTTATAATGATTTTAAATGCATTGTGAGCCGCCCTGAGTCTTCGGAGAGGGGCAGCATACAAATTGAATTAATAAATAAATAAAATAAATAAATAAATAAATAACATTAAATTAGTGTGGAGAACTTGTGGTTTTCCAAATGTTCCGGAATTAGAGAATACTTGGCAACTTAAGGACTACTATAGCCAGAGGTAAAGAATGCCGGGAGTTGTCTTTCATCAACAGGACCATGGATCAAATAATCAAATGCTAATCAGGTAGTTGTAATCATATCAAAGATATAATTGCATTGACCAATTTCAAAGTAGACCTCAGGTACAGTACTTACATATATGTTTTTGAACATCCCAGTTTTCATTAGAATGTGACTTTCAGTAATTGCATTAGAAGTAGCTGAATCAGTTATTTGTAAACTGCACATCCTCAACCGTGGTTTTGTCTACTCTATGGCACTTGCAGTTGCTTAATTCCAAAACTATCATAACCAACCACATGTTGTTATTTAACAATATATTACTCATACCAAACTGAAGGTTGGTATATGCAGCCATCAAAAATAAAACTGGCATTTTGCTTCTTGTGCTGAAGACCAAGATAATCTCCCTCATATTTTCATGTATGGATAATGGAGGTTACATTTTCTTCAGAAGTGGTGATAGAACAGCTCCCTCCCCCATATGGTAAAGTTTCACTTAGGGGTGCTGAGAAGGAAGCACATATTACTCAGCCTTTTGATACTTTATTGCTTCATACTCCTTTTCTACACCATGCAAAAGAGTTCATTTGAAAGGCTTTACTTTAAATGATGCAAATGTGAGCAGCAGCAGGCAAGTGTGCAATCACACACACAGTTTTCAGCAGTCCCCAAAACTCCTGGAAACTTGCTTGTAAAGGATTTCCAGTATCCAGAATTGAATGCATTTGTTAGATATGTCATTGGGGCACAGTCCAAAATTATCAACACTGTGAATAGATTGTCAGCCATGGCTCAAAGTCAACTAGCAGCTGTTCTTAAATAGAGTCCAATTTGGTGGATTTAATTAGAGCTGGGAACATACAGTATCTGGCATGTAAAGATAAATGGTGAACACTGATGCTATGCACCAGTGTTCTGCATACAGGATGTTCTGGAGTTAGGTATTTTTTCCAGTTCCAGTTCATCATCTTTGGACGGGAGGAGATGAGAGGGCAGGAGGGGAACAACTGTTCCTGGTGATTGTTGGGTGGATCAGCCTGATTGGGTGCTTGAAGTTTCCTCAGTCTGAAATCAGTCTAACATCAATACCTGGGAAGATTCTGGGAAATATAACCTGGAAAAAACAGATCTGCGAACAACTAGAAGCAAATAAAGTTATAACTAGTAGCCAGCACAGGTTTGTTAAAAACAGATCATGCCAAACCAATCTTATTTCATTCTTTGATAAAGTCACTAAATTAATAGACCAGTGAAATACTGTGGACATAGTATACTTAGATTTCAGTAAGACATTTGACAAAGTAGACCACAATCTATTTCATGGTAAGCTAGAAAAATGTGAAATGGATAACATCAACATCAACAGTACTCCAACTCCCCTGAGTCAGAGTTGGCCATGACATTTATTTATTTATTTATTTTGTCCCATTTCTATGCCGCCCAACTCCTGAGGGACTCTGGGCGGCTTACAACAGAGAATAAAACAATGCAACAATATCCCATACAAAAGTTAAAGAAGACATTAAAACATTAAAAAGTTAAAACATTAAAACACATACACTCCAATTTGTGGCCAGGTCTCGCAAGATCACTATAACGAGATCAATGGCTCAAGGCCTGCCGGAAGAGCCAGGTCTTCACCACTTTCAGGAAGGCCAATAGGGTGGGGGCGGTCCAGACTTCAGGAGGTAATTGGTTCCAGAGAGCCGGGGCAGCCACAGAGAAGGCCCTCCCCCGCGGGCCCGCCAGCCGACATTGTTTAGCTGACAGGATCTGGAGGAGACTAACTCTGTGGGATCTTACCAATCATTGGGAGCTATGTGGTAGAAGGCGGTCTCGAAGATAGTCTGGTCCTGAGCCATGTAGGGCTTTAAAGGTAATAACCAACACCTTGAATTGTGCCCGGAGACCAATAGGGAACCAGTGCAGCTCGCAGAGAATTGGTGTAATGTGGGTGTACCTAGGTGCACCCATGACAGCTCGCATGGCTGCGTTCTGGACCAACTGTAATCTCCAAACACTTTTCAAGGGTAGCCCCATGTAGAGCGTGTTGCAATAATCTAACTGTGAGGTGACAAGGGCATGAGTGACTGTGAGGAGAGCCTCCTGATCCAAATAGGGTCGCAATTGGTGCACCAGACAAACCTGTGCAAAGGTCCCCCTAGCTACAGCTGTCAGATGTTGTTCCAATCCCAGCTGTGAGTCTAGAAGGACACCCAAATTACGAGCCTGTTCTGAGGGGGGCACTTTCTCTCCCCCTGGAACCAAGGATGGACAATCGACATAGTCTTTAGGG